AAAGTGCACCCAGAGATTATTAATCTGTATTAAGTGGTCTTGCATAACCAGTGATAGGCTATACTTCAGTGTCATTAATTAAAATGTAACCATATCAAGTTTCACATTATTACTTTCATATTTCATTCATTTATATCTTGCCTTTTCCTCAATATTAACCCTCTGGTTAGTGTTACATTGGTTAGTGTTGCACTGCAGAACACTGCTTCAAAGAAAATAGAAACATCTCTCTATGGAATTGAGATTTTTCCAAGAAAATTAAGAATGTGGGTTTGTTTCCAAGAAAATGAAGCCATTCTGTGAAAGTTGCAGATCTCCATTTCACTTAATCAAGCGCAAAAACCTAAAAACCCAGATTCCCAGAGGAAGGCTAAGTAACAATATGACCTTACAACATGTTTTCCCCAGCCTGGTGCTCTGGAGATATGTTGGCATGCAATTCCTAACATGTCCAGCCACCATTACACTGCAGGGGTGATGGACATCTGGTTGGGAAAAAACAGCTTTAAACAGGTTGCCTCTCCTTCCACACTGCGCTTTATCCCAGGACCTGATCCCAAATTATCTGCTTTAAACTGAGGCTCCTTCCACACAGTTGTATAAAATCCATATTGAACTGGATTATATGGCTATGTGGAGTCAGATAACCTGTGTGGAGTCAGATAACCCAATCAAGACTATCTGTCTTGATATTCTGGGTTATATGGAAGGGGCCTGAAATATATGAGTCCCCACTGTCAAATAACTTGAGATAAACAGTTAACCTGGGATCAGATCCTGGGAAAAGGGGAAGTGTGGAAGGGCCCAAAGAATAGGGTTCAAATTCAACTGGTTAGATTGACTAATGCTGGATACACACTGCTGTAAAATGCATTTTGAACTGCACTGTATGGGTCTATACTGACCCTATAAAGGAGTTCAACCTGCATTATATGGCAGTGTAGATCTAGCCTCAACCAACTGTTCAATGTGAGTCAATCTTATTGACAGTGTGAACCTGCTAAATTCCGACTAATGACAGTATTCAAGGTGTGTTTTGGAAGCCTGAATCTGAGCAATATAGGGCTCCAATCTCAAACTAATGGACCAAAAAGAGATCCCATTAATGCTATTTAAGATAACTATTCCCTACCAAGTGAGGATGCATCTACACTGTAGAAATAATGCAGTTTGAAAAGACTTCAGCCCTTTTGTGCTGCCAGATAATTCCAGTTATCAAAGAATAAAATCCACATCATCTTATTTGAACTGGAATATTTTAGGGCCCTTCCAGACAGGCACTATATCACAGGATCTGATCCCACGTTTTCTGCTTTGAACTGGATTATATGAGTCCACACTGCCAGACAATCTGAGATGAACAGAAAAAAACAGGATCAGATCCTGGGATATAGGGCATGTATGAAAAGGCCCTAAATCTACACTGCCCATATAATCCAGTTCAAAGCAGATAATGTGGATTTTATACTGCTGTGTAAAACGGACTTGCATCAGCTACGGTTCAATTATAGGGCATCCCTGGAGTTGTCATTTTACAGGGTCTCAAGTCTTCTTTCTTTAAAAAGTGCTGAAGCCTCAACAAATTATAATTCGCATGATGGCACAACCTTGAACCATGGCAGTTAAAGTGGTGCTGGTTTGTATTAATTTTACAGTGTAGATGGACCCTTAATTTCGCATTCCCTGTGGTATCTGAGAGGCAATTTAAGAAACCTATAAATAACACGCTGGATTTCATAGAAGAAAAGCAGACTATAAATAAAACTTATTAGGTCAAGACCTGTATAATTTCACATAGCTATTTGAAGATGTATGTATATGCTGGGTCGGAAATGCAATTTTCTGTGTCCTATTTGCATTCCATTCTAGGGCCCTTCCACACAGTCCTATATCCCAGAATATCAAGGCAGAAAATCCCACATTATCTGAATGTGGACCCAGTATGATACTGTAGGATTTTCTGCCTGATATTCTGGGATACAGGGTTGTGTGGAAGGGCCCCTACTCTTTCAGTCCTAAAGCCCTGTGTAAGTACATTTGAAGAAGCAAGTTCATTTTCACGAAAGTTTGTGCTAAAACAAAGATCCTTTAGTCTGAATGGCACTGTTCCCCTTCCCTTTCCCTCTTTTATGCTACAACAAACTAATATGGCTATTTCTTTAGGCCTGAATGCACCCAACAAAATGGTTATAGTGTGCAGTGGTCTATAGTGGTATGTTCACTAGTCTGCTGCAGCAAAAATAGGGAGATATATCTTAAAGGGAATCCCAGTAAAATGGCCTGCACTGGCAGCTTACAAATCCAGATGGATTCTTGGTATATGTTTTGTATTTGGCATACATTTTAGCTGTTATAAGCTGCCCTATTCACTGTTGCAAGCTGCTCTGAGTTTATTCAGGGAAAGCGGGATAATAATGGTGGTGATGATGGCAATATTGTAGTTGGGTCTTCATATCCATGGATTCAAGATTCAACAGTCCAGAAAAGGAACAAAGTGGATTGGCTGTGGCTAAGTGTTACCACTGGTCAGCTGTGACCAATAATACTGTGGAATTTGAAGAGGCACGAATGTAGGACGAAAAGGGAGAAACAAGAGGAAGGTGTATCAAACCAACCTTTGTCGGGACCACTTCCCATCTGGAGACCGATGTCCTCACTGCAAAAGAACATGTGGATTAAGAATAGGTCTCTAGAGTAACCTAGGGACCCAACACCAAGAACTCACACTTGGAATAATAATAAGTTTGATTTATATCCTGCCCCTTCTCCTGGAAAGGATTCTGGGCAGCTTACAGCAAGCAACAGTAAAAAACAAAACAAAAAAACAAAAACAAAAACCAACCTTACATAGGTCAAATTAACATAACTTATAATAGAATCATTGCAGTTACTGAGGGCAATCATACTTGGACACGAGAGACTGCCAATGATGATGAGGTGACGTGACCCTGTGAGCTCTTCCATGCAGCCATATAACCCAGAATATCAAGGCAGAAAATCCCACAATATCTGCTTTGAATTGGGTTAGCTGAGTCCACACTGCCATATATTCCAGTTCAAAGCAGAAAATGCGGGATTTTATTCAGCTGTCTGGAAGGGGCCTGTGATGTCGCTGGGGAAGAAAGGGAGTGAAGTGTCTTGGCTGCTGTTGGGTGACATGTATGAGGGGAAGGGAAGAATGGAGGAAGGAAGGAAGAAAAGGGGAGGAAGGGAAGAAAAAAAGAAACAGAAAGGAAAGGGGGAAAGGAAAGGAAGAGAAAGGGAGGGAAAAGAAAGGGAGGGAAAAGAAAGAATCAGAAAGGAAAGGGGGAAAGGAGAGGAGGGGAGGAAAGGAAGAGAAAAGGAGGGAGGGGAAAGAAAGAAACAGAAAGGAAAGGGGGAAAGTTGGAAAGAAAGAAGGGAAGAGAAAGAAACGGAAAGGAAAGGGGGAAAGGAGAGGAGGGGAGGAAAGGAAGAGAAAGAAGGGAAGAGAAAAGGAGGGAGGGGAAAGAAAGGAACAGGAAGGAAAGGGGGTAAGGCAGGATCAGATCCCATATTTTTATAGATCAATGGACCTAATAGTTGTGATGGCAAATACCCCTCAATTTTGTTCTGTAGGCTCTTCAGAAAATATAGCTATAGTTTTACAAAATGCCAAGGTTTTCATAGAGAAAAGAGAACGGATGGACTTGACCATATATGGGAGACAAAGACAGGCTTTTGGTGCCAAAGAGAGTTTTTTGTAAAGGGGTAAATTTTCGGTCAAGAGACATGCTGACTTTGCAGAGAGGAACTAGCCAAGGCTAAATTAAGCTTGCCAAGATCAGCAGCTGTCCCCAGCTATATTAGCATATCAGCATCTTGAGATGTTTCCAAAAGGGGGCTTGCTTATTGAGAAGCGAAACTTAAAGTGTATGAGCTAATTGCTTAACATAAATATAATATTGACAGCTTTCTTAACCAATGATTTAATCTTTGGGGCAGCTCTTAAGGCCGAACCCCTTTGCATGTATAAAACAACACTACCTTTTGTGATGGTGTGGCTTTCCCCAGAGACGCCTTGTTGCGTCGGAAAGCCAACTAGCAGCTGCTATAATAAACTTTGATATTCTTGCTGTACCCAGTTGGCTGTTTTTCCTGACTCATCTGCGTCCGCAATTGAACTGAAAGAAAGCATTTTGGCTGAGCCTTTGAGCAATTGCTCAGGGAAAAGAAAAGCCTGCTTCATTTTTGGAGGTTCCACCGAGATTAATTCAGACGGGCCAGAGTCGGGGGAGACAGATCTTGTTGGCAAGACGATTTTTTGATCAGCATCAAAGACGAGAGGCGACTGCCGTGAGCCGCGACTAAGGGGGCCCCCGACTGATAACCGGCTGCGACACTCCCCTCTTCTGTCTGTGCCGCTTGATCAAGGAAATCGCAACTCTTCGGGTTCTCAAGAAATCAACTGGGAGTGGAGAAGTGGTAGGAAGGATCCAGGAGGAGGAAAGTCCGGGGGCGAAGGTTGTTCCGACGTCTGCAGAGACCCGGCAAGTATAAGTGGTCAAGTAAAGACACTAGGTAACACACACCAGCGCTGGGGGGAAGGGGGACCACTAAGTAACCCGTGGGGTAGTGGGAGGACGGGGCAAACCTTGCGGTTCCTGAAACACGCCGTTGAGTGTCCGGGTGTGAAGGCCAAGGTTTGCTCCCCACTAGAGGCCATGGGTGGGAGGAACTCAAAGGCAGTGACTCCGCTTCAGTGTATGCTAGACAACTTTGATAAGTTTGTAGCTGCATCGAGTCAGGGAGATCCAGGAGATTTTAAGGACTACAGATTAAGGAATCTGTGCACAGGAGAATGGCCCACCTTTCCTTTTGGGTGGCCTGCAGAAGGGTCGTGGGACCTAAAGAAGATTAGGCAGGTAGAAAAATTTTGTGCTAACCATCATCCGGATCAATATATTTATATTGATGCCTGGGACAACGTGGTGACCCAAAATCCTGATTGGGTCCGGAAGTGTAAAGAAGTACAGTGTATGATGATAAGGAAGAAAGAAAAGAAAGTCAAGGTTAAAGTCCTTGCCCAGGAAGAAGAGCCGGCGGAGGAATGTAGTTACCGGGGGCAGCGATATGCAATTCCCAATGCACCCCCGCTAGCAGTGGCTCAAGGCGCCCAAGGGCCCGTGGACCAGGGACGGACATTACCATTGCCGGTAATTCCCAATGCGCCCCCACTAGTAGCGGTTCAAGGCGCCCAGAGACCAGTTGACCAGGAACGGACATTACCACCGCCTCCGTCATATGATAGCCCAGTGTCCATAGTTCTCCAGCCTCCATACAGTGAAACCAATCCCTTCCGAAACCTTCGGGATGAATTAAGGGTTGCGGACACCACCACACAAACGGTGCGACGTCCCGCCCGAGAACCTAGTGATGCAAGCCCAGCCGTTACTAGAAGCAGGCAAGCTGAGCTCTCCCCTGTGGAAGGTCCGGCAGATAGTACAACGGCAAGGGAATTTCCAATAAGGGAAGTTAGTGTATTGGATCAAAATGACCAGCCCTATCAATTATATCAGGTGGTCCCATTTACCAGCAGTGACCTGCTGAATTGGAAAAGTTCTACGCCTCCCTACTCCGAGCAACCTCAAGCAATGGCGACTTTATTAGAAACTATTATAGCTACCCATAATCCAACGTGGCGAGATTGCCAACAGCTCCTCCAGGTCTTGTTTACCACAGAGGAGAGAAGGCAGGTGATCAACCAGGCTACGTTACTGGCGCAGAATCAGCCGCCAGCGGGTCAGGATGCGGTTGCTTGGGGGGCGCAGCGCTTCCCAGTTGGAGGAGATCTGGGCTGGAAGGCCAACATTGAAAACGATAGGACGACCCTGAAGACCTATCAGGGGATCCTGATAGATGCCGTTAAAAAGGGACCACCGAGGCCAGCTAACATCCAAAGGATCCAAGGGGTGAGGCAGGAGAAGAGTGAATCTCCCTCAGCATTTCTGGAGAGGCTGGAAGAGGCATACAGGAAATACAGCCCATATAATTTAGAAGATGAAAATGGGAGAAGGGCACTGCAGCAGTCTTTCATCAGCCAGGCAGCAGATGACATCCGAAGAAAAATTCAAAAGCAACCGGGATTCATAGGGAAAAGTATGAATGAACTCCTAGCCATAGCAGATCAGGTATATATGGCCAGAGATCAGAAAGAGGAAGAGAAGAAGAAGAAAGATCGTAAGGAAGGATATAAAGTATTGTTGACCATGATGGATGGACAGACGGAAGGATCAAGAGGCAGAGGAAGGGGAAAAGGAGGAGAGCGAAAGAAGTTAGGATGGAATCAATGCGCCAAATGCAAGAAGTATGGGCACTGGAAGGGGGAATGTACAGAGAAGGTGTCAGGAGAAGAAGGAGGCGAAGGACGAGGCAGAGGAAGAGGTAGAGGACGTGGAAGAGGCCGTGGAGGCTATACCCCGCACCAGAAGAGGGAAGCAGTAGTGGCTGCAATAGCAGAAGAATGGGAGGATGCGGAGGAAGAGGAATGAACCGACCAGGCTCTCGTTTTGCTGGACCCCAGGGAGCCGATGGTCACTATAGAAGTAGGGGACCAGCAAGTTGACTTTTTAGTGGACACTGGGGCAGAACGATCAGTGGTGAACAAACTTATTGGTCCTACCAGCGCAGAAGTCACCAAAGTGGTGGGGCTGTCAGGAAAAATTCAGAAATGCCCTTTTCTACAGGAACGGACATGTAATCTAGCAGGCCATAATGTGAGTCATAAGTTACTGTATCACCCTGATTGCCCAGTGTCATTATTAGGAAGAGACATTTTGTCGAAATTAAGAGCACAAATCCAATTTTTGGACGATGGCCAAATGGAATTGACAATACCCATGGAAGAGGAATGGAGGATGTACTTGGTACAACAGGAGAAGTCTGCCCCGCGGCCAGAAGTTGAATGGCCCTGGGAGCGGACTCCTTTGGTGTGGGCAGAAGACAATCCTCCAGGACTGGCTAAATATGTGCCCCCAGTGGTAGTAGAGGTGAAGAAAGGAGCAGTCCCAGTCAAAAGACCACAGTACCCAGTGAGTCGGGAAGCCTCTGCAGGGATACAAGTTCACATTGACAGGTTGTTAGAACACGGAATTATTGTGCCCTGTAGTTCACCATGGAACACACCTCTGTTACCGATAAAGAAGCCAGGAACTAAGAATGAGTACCGCCCGGTGCAGGACCTTAGGGCAGTCAACCAAGCCACAGTGCTCCTCACCCCAGTAGTACCAAATCCCTACATTATGATGAGCCTAATCCCTTCGTGGACGGCATGGTTTACAGTTTTGGACTTGAAAGATGCGTTCTTTTGTATCAGGCTAGCTCCAGTTTCCCAACCCATCTTTGCCTTCCAATGGGACACCCAGCAAGCGGGCCAAAAGACTCAGTTTATGTGGAAACGCCTTCCTCAGGGCTGGCAAAATAGCCCGACCATTTTCGGCCAGGCGCTCGCCAAGGACTTAGAGGAGTTCAAGATCCCTGAATCTGAAGGAATCTGGCTCCAATATGTAGATGATTTACTGATAGCTTGCAGGACGCAAGAGGGATGCAGGCATTACACCTTACAGATGTTGGAAACACTGGAGGAAAAAGGCTACAAGGTATCAAAGAAAAAGGCCCAGCTGTGTCAAAAGACAGTAAAGTACCTGGGATTTGAAATAACTGAAGGACATAGGTCTTTGGGAACAGAAAGAAAGGAAGTAATTTTTGCAATTCCTACACCGTCCACTAGGAGACAGGTGAGGGAGTTTTTGGGCGCAACAGGATACTGTAGGCATTGGATTCCTGGGTACGCTACGTTGGCTAAACCTCTGTACCGAGCTACCCGAGGAAATAGAGAAGACCCTTTTGAATGGACAGAAGAGTGCCAGGGGGCTTTTGAGGCCCTAAAAGAAGCCTTGATGTCATCTCCGGCGCTCGGGCTCCCAGACTTGGAGAAACCGTTCGACTTGTTCGTGTCTGAGAAGGAAGGAGTGGCTGTAGGGATACTTACCCAGACATTAAGATCATGGCAGAGACCAGTGGCTTATCTGTCAAAACAGTTAGACACGGTAGCACAGGGAATGCCGCCCTGTCTTCGTGCAGTGGCAGCAGCAGTAGATTTGATAAAAGAAGCAAGTAAATTGACCTTAGGACAGCCACTGGCCGTCAAGGTACCACACCATGTGAAGGCACTGTTAGACACCAAGGGACCACGCTGGCTCACAAATGAGAGACTGACAAAATATGAGAGGGTGTTGTGTGATAACCCAATGGTGACCCTAGAAACTTGTGCCACCTTAAATCCGGCCACCTTGTTGCCTGCCCCAGGAGAGGAAACAGTCCACCAGTGCATTCAGGTGATGGAACAGGTATATTCCAGCCGACCTGACTTAAAGGACGTACCAATGTCCAAGGCAGACATGACCCTGTTCACGGATGGCAGTAGCTTCATGGAAAACAGGTATATTCCAGCCGACCTGACTTAAAGGACGTACCAATGTCCAAGGCAGACATGACCCTGTTCACGGATGGCAGTAGCTTCATGGAGAACGGTGAGAGGCGTGCAGGATATGCGGTGGTACAGGGGGGGGGGGAGAGATTCTGGAAGCAGAGTCGCTCCCTCCGGGAACCTCCGCTCAACGGGCTGAATTGATAGCCCTCACCAGAGCACTGCAGTTGGCAAAGGGAAAACGGGTCAATGTCTACACGGACTCAAAGTACGCCTTTACTACGCTCCATGCCCATGGAGCCTTGTACAAGGAGCGGGGACTCCTTACGTCGGCTGGAAAGGGCGTTAAAAATGCGGCTGAGATTGTGGCCCTCCTGGAGGCGGTCTGGGACCCGGATAAAGTGGCTGTAATGCATTGCAAAGGACACCAAAGGGGAGAAGACCCAGTGACTCAAGGTAATAGGCTAGCTGATTTGGCCGCAAGAGAGGCAGCTAAGCACCCCCACAATAAACAGCACATGATGGCTGTGACAGTAATAGAAGATCCCCCATTAGAAAAATTTACATACACAAAAGAGGAGGAGAATTGGGCTTTGGGGGAAAAAGGAAAATGGAAGGGAGAGGTCATTGTGATGCCAGATAACCGCGTTTATGTCCCTAAGGATATGGCGTGGCACATAGTCCGACATATGCACTCCAACACACACCTGGGTAAGACAGCCCTAGCTAAGCTGCTGGAACGGCAAATGTACATTGATGGACTCCATAGCCTGACAGCAGCAGCAGCACGCAGATGCTGGACATGCGCCAAGAATAATCCTCGAGAGGGACCCTTAAAGCCACCAGGAATTCAACACATAGGCAACGTCCCATTCGAGGCAATTTTGACTGATTTTACTGAGATGCCCCCGCAGAAGGGCTACAAATATTTGCTTGTTTTCGTGGACACCTACACCGGGTGGGTAGAGGCATACCCAACCCGAACTGAAAAGGCAGTAGAAGTTTCAAGAGCACTTTTGAAGGACATAATCCCCAGATTTGGAATACCATTAGAAATAGGGTCTGACAACGGTCCAGCTTATGTCCACAAGGTGATTCAAGGACTATGTCAAATATTGGGCACTAAATGGAAATTGCATTGCGCTTATAGGCCCCAGTCCTCAGCTAAAGTTGAGAGAATGAATCGGACTCTAAAGACTGCTATGTCAAAAATC